AGGAAGGAAGGAAGGAAGGAAGGAAGGAAGGAAGGAAGGAAGGAAGGAAGGAAGGAAGGAAGGAAGGAAGGGAGAAGCAAGACAAGAGCAAATCTAGAGGAGAGGAGGAGGAGCACAGACCGTTTCCTCCTGGTCCCTTCATAGCCAACTCCTGCTCCCCACCTTGAGACTGGCTCGCGCCTGAGAGGAGCCCCCCCCCAGCGGCCTTCCCAGGTCACCATCTGGCCTCTCCCAATGTGGGTCCAAAGAACTACAGGCCAGCAGCAGCTGCCCCCTCCCCCAAATCTTGTCAGTCGCCAGGGCCCCTCCAAACCCAGGCATTTTGCATGACAAAAGCAGCCACTTTTTAAATTCAGCTGAGGTCATCACATCAACTGCTTCCCATTGAATTAATTCCAATTCAGTGCCAATTAACACCTCCTTTGCCATCACGGTTCTGAACGGTTATGGTTATCCTCTCACCGGGCCCCATCATCTAAAGGCCTTAAAAACATGCAACGGGATTCCAATGACTTGGTTTCCTCAAGAGCACCCCAGACTCATCATGCAATGCCCAGACACCCTCCCCATTTTCCCCACTTCTGCCTCGATGGCCGAGATTTTAATCAAAGCGGAGAAGAGCTTGAACCAAATCTATTAGCAGTCCATGGATTTCTCTCCAGATATGGTGTGGGGAAGGATATTCAAACCAGGGATGAGCAAAAAGGGAATTGGGATCCACCAGAGATCCATAACAGGTCAGGAAGTGCCTCTTATCTCCCAAACTGGTAACTGGAACTCAACCCAAGCCCTGCCCGGTTAAATTAGAGGGTTGAAAAGAAGGCCACCAGGAGTGGGGTTTGGTGGAAAGGTGTGATCCTGACCCATATTCTACTCCTGATCACACACTCCTGGTCTGAGCCCGTCCTCCCAGATGCCCAGTCCCTCTTTCTGCTTCCTTGCCCCTGGGTTCTGGGCTAATAGGTATTGGAATCATTCTATGCTTTGTAGAATGCAAAGCAGACCAAGCCCCCCCACCCCGCCTTGGGTTTGAACCTTTTACCCAGAACAAATGCAGCGGGGAGAGTCAAAATAATGACAGAATCCATTCACAACATAAAGACAAGACCAGGTTAGTCTTCCTCAGTTCAGGGCCTGGTAAGTGATTCTGGGCACATGAGTAGCTGTGGTCATATGTTCTCCTTCCATCAGCTCAGTGAGATAGGAAGAGAACCAGATGCCTTGGTCACCTGGTCACTTTCAAGGCCGGGGGCAGGGGGACACTTGCCTCCGAGCTCCCTCGCTCTTATAAATCCTCCTTCCCAAAGTGGGATCCATGTCAAACCACTGGTCCCTCTTGAGTGATGCTCTCCACAAGAACCAACACCAACTACAGTCCCCCCCCGCCCCTGGGGACCGTGGAATCAAATCTGGGTCTCTCTGTGGGCAATATAAGTGCTCTGACCCTGAGCTATGGCCATCATCCCAACATCCTTGGCCCTGGTTGCGGAAGACGGGACAGTGGCTGTCACTTAGGGTCAGAGCAGCTGGACTTGATTATTGTCCATAATGAACATTTCCATAAAACAAAAGTTTCTTACCCAACAGAGTAACAACGTAAACTAAGCAGCACATGTACCCTGTCTAACAGCTGAAGGGGATGCACAAAGTGGGCCTCTCGATCAGAAGGCGAGAGGAGTCATCACGGAGGAAACTAAGGGTGTCCTCACGAGGACAGGTTGCTCATGGAAAGAAACACCTTCCAAGAGAAGTTTCCTTGCTCCATCATACAAGAACCGTTCCAGCGCATGACGCATTCTGTGAACCACCTAATTCAAGAGGCAGACGCAGATCCTTTGCACATGCTGCGATAGGAGCCAAACGAGGGAAGCTGTAAAGGTAATCAGCCCTTTGGCCCTGACTCGAGGAATCCAAGTCTTGGGCCATCCAAATGAGCTTTCTCTGGGCCTTTGTTCCCGGGTCATCACATACCCACGTGTTCTTGTCTGCCATGAGGAGAAGGGTGGCTAGAACCCCACGTCCCAACACTGAAAATATGCGTGCCAGGACTTTTCTTTCAAGGCTCCAGGTTGAGCAATCCTGCTTTCCCTTCTGCTCCTTAATAGGGTATTACGGGTTACAGCCAAGATAATGGGTCAGGAGCGGTTTCGTAAACAGAAAATCATGCCAGCCTTAGCTGGGACGGGGAGCATCTGAAAGCAGGCAGACCAGCCGTTTCTTCTGAACAGGAGGGGAAATAACTTGCCTCAATTCCCCAGGCAAAAGAAGGTTCTTTACATTGGAAACTCCAGAAAAATCTTTATACTCGCTTGCTCCTGTGCAAAGGGAGGAAAGCTTTTCATCCAAAATCTGCAAAAGGCCAAATTCAGGTCAGAAGAGAAAGTTGGAAAGCGATATCGAGGAAAGGCAAGGAGCCAAAGAAATGGAGTCATCGAACGGAAACAGTGGGCGTTTCTTCCTGTTCCAGAAATAGGGGCAGTGCCAGAAAATTTATTCATTATTTTGATGTATATCACTGCCCCCTTCAATGGAATGACCCTGGGCGGCTTACAACAATTAAAAACTGCAAAAGGGACGAAATCCCATCTTAAAACACACAGAACCATATAAAAAACCTGAGAACAAAAGCCACAGCCACATTCCACACACAGGCTCGACTGCACGTTCAGATCCCCAAGTCCCAAACCCCGTGCACATGTGTGTGTGTAAGCTCATCCCTGCGGCTAACAGGCAGTGCAAGCATCTGTTTTCAAAACCTGCCACGCCTCTTTCACAAGAGGTCACGGAAAACAAGACAAACTGCACCCCAGATATGATCTCTCTCCCGTAGGCTCCCCGCAACACAGCAGACGTTCCCTCCGGCTGCTGGAAGCGGGCGAGGCCTCTGGTCTTTCCCAATGGGAGCCAGAGCCCATCGCTTAAGCTGAGAAGGGAGCCTAAGGAGCCACCATGCTGGCTGGGGAATTCTGGGAGTTGAAGTTCACTCTTCTTAAAGTTGCCAAGTGTGAAACACAGTTTTAGACCGCGCTCGGATCTGAGTTCGACTGCTTCGCGTGCACTGCGAAAAGAGCCGGTTTAAATAAAAGGCGGGACGTACTTTGCACCGGTGCGAGCGACCAGGCCAGCCACTCCCTTCGTTTCAGTTGTTTTCGGTTTGTTTAACTAAACTACGTTCAAAACGCGCCCTCTCCCTCAGGAGCGCGAGGGACAATTCGTCCAAAAGCACTCGATGCAGTTTTGGAGAAGTCCCCAGATGACAGACTTATCGATCACAGCTACTAAGGCGGCCAAGTTCTTGGCGAGCCATCTGTTGTTTTCAGATGGTTTTGTGGGGCGGGGGGGCAGAGGGGCAGAGCGCAAGGCCGGGGAGGCTCCGCCTGAACCCCAAGTCAAGCCTGCGAGCCACTGCCCCGCCACGACAAGAGTCGGGCTCAAACCTAAGCTTAGCTTTGCTGAACTCCCACGAAGCGGGGCCTAAATTTATACAACCCTCCCTCGAAAGGAGTTTCTTGCACATCCTGCCCCCTGGCTCTCTGCCCCTGTTCGGGGCCGCCCCGGAGCCGAGCCAGGCCACTGACGCGTCGCCAAAGACGCCAGATACTCTCCGCACAAGCTGCAGGTTCTTCTCTTGCGAGATGAGGAGAGCTGGCTCTTTTACAGCCGAAAGGTTGGGGGGCCAAATCCGTGCCCCCGTCCCTTTTACAAACCCCAGAGCGGGACCTTCTCTTGCACACGTATCCCCGGTCCTTCTGACAAAGGGAAAAAGGGCCGGCAGTTCCTAGAAAAAGCCAAGACTGCTGCACGCCCTTTGGCATCCCTGCAGGGCCTTTTTCCTGCTGCTCCTGGTTCGAGTTCGAGTTCT